CCTGTAACTACTCACTCTGATTTATGACATCTAGTAACAACAGTTCCTGGGAATGCTGTAACTTTTAAAAAATGAGCATAAACTGAACTAAGTCAAGGCCCACAAGTATAGCATCCAAGCAGGAGCTATTGGATAATCCTAGATTGCTGTAACTATTAGGAAACAGATTTGGGAGAAACATGATAGTCCAGAACTGGCAAAATTCCTGTGGAGATCACTCAGTCTGAATGAAACCAGGGCCTCTTTGACTCCATACAAACAGAGAGAAAACATGAAGGCTTACAAAAGCAGTAGAGCCTTATACAGAGCCGAGGACTGAACTCCTCACCACAAGAGGAATGGACGAGTAACCCTAAACAGCTAACAGCTGGTGTCCCAAAAAGGACACCATTGAAGGGGGAAAGGTCAAGACCAGAGTAAAGCCAATTTGATGAGTATTTGACTCAATATTCCCAGCAGCTTTTAGTTTCTGCTGTGCTGTCTGCATATTTTGAGTTGGCCTGGTTAAGTGGCACCATCAGAAAGGAAACAGTGAGCCTGGATTCAGCAAAATACTGAGGTCTTTTCCAAGATGGAGAAGACTGGGCCTATAAAACACTGAACAAGCTCAGATCCTATCCTGAGAAGTTCCACAAGCTGTGCCCTGTCCCAGTTTCTTTCACATCATCTAGTTAGTGTGACACAGCAGCACTCACTTTAAAGAAAGACCTTCTTTAAAGATTGTACCTTCCCTATGTGTTATCTCTGCTGGAAGAAATGTCTTTCTTTGACACCATTTTGCACGTTTTGGAGTTTTTTTTTAATTAATTAAGACTATTTATAGAATACTTGGTCTCACAGGGACCAAGTTCATAGAATCATAGAATGGTTTTGGTTAAAGGGTCTGTAAAGATCATCTCATTCCCATCTCCTGTTCCCTGGTTTGTTCAAGGGCCAAAGAGAGGAACAGTCACTGCTCAGGACCACTCTGGCTGTGCTCTTCCCAAGTGCCTGAAACCCTGAGCTTGAGCCTAAACAGACAACATTAGCTTGTTCAAAAAGTTTCTATGCCAAGGACTAATGAATGTATCATATTTGCTGTGCACCTAGAGAAACAAAATCAGCTTGAATCAACTTGCAAGTACTGCACAATACTGATGGCTGCTGTTAATATGGTGAGAGCCAGAAGTATGGTGTTTGGCTTGTCACCTTTAGAACAGAAGACACTGAATAGCAAGAAAGAAGTGGAGACAGCAGAGTGTGTGGTGTCACCACACACCTGTACTGCTGAAGGTACAGTCTAGGAAAGTACCTTTAAGTGGAGCTGACACCCACAGAAATTATGGCAAAGTGTATAAAAGTGCTCGTTTCATGAAATGGGCAAAGCCAATAGTTTTTTCCATGGCTTTTTAGAAGTCAGATGCTAGTTAAAACCTGTGTATATGTATACATTCCTTTATATGGATAATTAGCTACTTCATGTGTGGCGCCTCATGGATTAAAGAAAATTCTTCTATGCAAATAAGTGGAATAGACTGGTCAAATTTATATGTGTAAAAACCCCCACTTTTATATAAATGTGTAGAATTTATTTAGGTGAGCTTCTTATTTCACAGACAAGTCTTACTTCCAAGACAGCCAATGGGTACATAAAATGTTCACTCTTCATTGTCCTCTTAAACGATGCCTCTATAAAAACACTGAGGATAAATGATTGATAACATATTTAAATAAATGAGAAAAAACCCCACATGTCTTGGAATTGACTTTTTGCTTTTTCCACTAAATGCTCAAATCATCTCCTTTTGGAATCAATGGCAAAACTCCATTGATTTTTAGGGCTGTATTTTCACCCTACATTCTTCTTTTTCAGTAATAAGTAGATTTGACCCAAGTTTTTCTGAAGATACTGCTTTCAACTATTTCTTCTGTTCTACAGAATAACAGAGTGGGTTGATATTTAAGAATGAAAGCTCATCAAGTTTAAATTTCAGTTGTTTTATAATAATAGCCATATGTTAGTTATGGATTGTGTAGGTCTGAAGTTTTGGTAATTTAAAACTGCTTTAAAGTGACCTTTACATGGTTCCACATTTCAACATTTTCTAAAAGCAGTCGGTAGAGGTTCTTACTCATAAATCGTTGCATTACAAAGTCTGCAGGCCTGGGCCCATAGTAAGGAAGAGGCTCACAGTAAGGAAGTCCTGTGAACATTTATACACACAGCTAAACTCAGAAATGGAGTCTTCACAATGAAATCCACATAACTGCTCTCAGACCAGGATGAAATGGCAACTTTCAAAAAAGGCCAGTCGCTGTTAGTGTTGGAGACAGGATACGAAGCAAGATGGACCTTACGCAGTTGTTGTGCTCTTCTCTGGTTAAATAGTGCAAGACAGTGTGGGAAATACTTTCTCTTTTTTTCACTGGCAGCTAGTCAGGCTGGGAAGACAGTGATATTGGGGGCAGTATGAAGGTGTAGCTCAGCTCCATTACCACTGCCTGATTTCTGCCATATGATTTCTCCCTGAATTCCCAGCCACACTGCAGCTCATCTTGCCTTTTGGTAGGGCTGCTCACAATCCTACAATCTTTTATTTCTTTGCAGTGCTCCACACCCTATTCTGCTCCATTAATTTGTGTGTCATTCCTTGCATGTCTGAGATCTTTCTCAAAAGCTGTATTATTCCTGTTGTCCACTTTGCCTCTGACTTTCTATCTGACTGAATATTTCCACTGTTACGGTAAAGGCATTTCATTTTTGGTATTTGAGGATTTTCACCTCACATCCCAGAACCTTAAAAGTGTTTTTATTTTGATAACAGGGAAACAGAAGCACATCAGCTAAAGCTATTTCCCAGAGACTACCCAACATGCGTACAGCAAGATATAGACTAGAACCAAATCTCCTGACCCTTCCTTCTAATGCCTCGGTCTTTAGGCATGAAGTGGAAGATAACGTAACAGAACTAAAAAAGCCATTTAAAAAGTGCCACGCTCAAGATCAAAACAAGTTTTGATATGCTGACAAAAAGGAAATGCTGATTGAAATCTGCACTGGGTTGATTGATATCTTAATAGGCCCTTAACTTCTGTGGAATTTTGTTACTTCTCCCATGACATTAAATTTTAAAGTGCTGTATGTGCAGCACTTTTCCCATGAATAAGAAAAATACCATCCATCTGGCAGTTGACCAGATTTCTTTTTCTTTTGGTATACTACTATCTTCAATGCCCACCATGATTTAGACACCTGATATATTTGAACCTATATTAGATGTTTTCAGTGAAAACCCACAGTGCAGCATTGGGAATCCATGTAGCTCCCACTAAATACTATTTCCTAGCTCACAGTTGTGAAGATTCGCTTTCAAATTTCCTATTAAATACCTCTGCCTCCTCAAAAGTTTGGTGTTCATTTGGCCCTAAACCCTGGAAAAGCTTTAGCACAGGCACGCAAGTAATTCCATAAACACATGTAAGTAAGTCCACTGATAATGTAGTAGGCAGACACACATGTGTTTGGAGAAAAAGACCTTCTTCAGGAATTAAAATATTTTTTGTAATTTTTTTCATTTTCTTTTGCAAAACTCCAGCCTGTGAAAAGAAATTTAAATGGTGTAAAAATTCGAGGTAATATGATCAAGCTCTGATTTCATTTCATTGTTACACAAAATGTTTGCTAGTCTTAAGAAATGGACAAAAACCATTAGGCCAGTTACAAAAATTTGAGACCCAATCCTGTAATCAAAGCATCTTTCATTAATTCAAGCAGAGGAAAACCCAGCCTTTGGACTAAATCCCTATGTATTTTCAGTATGTTTGTAAATGACAGAGTCATGTAATTAAACCTCTGAACACTTCCAGTAATTTTTTGTGATACCTGTGGTGGCCAGAAATATTACAGAACTGTTTACAACACGGTGCAGCAACAGCAACACACCACATCAACCCTCAGAGACATGGCAGCACAGAGATGGACACACGCCTGTCCCATGTGCTGTGCTTCCAGCCCCAAGACCCATCCAAGCACCATGGGATGCAAGAGGACCAAAACCACAGCTAGCAAGGACCTGTCCGTAAATAGATGTCAAACCAACTGCATTATCGCTTTAAATTAATAACATATGAGAGGAAAGTTATATACCAATTGCAATTGGTCACTCCACTTTCTTGGAAAAATAATGCATGGCTATGCATTGAGGCACCCCGGACAGTGTTTCCTTTGTAAAATGCACGAGGGTGCATTCCAGAGGGACCTGAGCGGGATGTTCTACGGGTGCGACCTGGACCCTTACAGGCCCGCTCAGTGATGCTGCATTTCCCGGGGCCGGGGACCGCGGGGGGACCGGGGCGCCCGTCCCGCCGGGCCGCGCTCGCCGGGGAGCGGCAGGGAACGGCAGGAGGAGGGAGGCACTCGGGGAGACCCTCGGAGAAGCCCCATTGTTTAGATTTCTGTCATAAGCCATGAGAATACTTAATTTCTTTCATCTCTGGAGTTTTCATTATCATTCAAATTTCATTTTCCATTAATTGATCGGGGATTAGCGAAGCCATTATGCAAAAATTAAAAGACAAGCCAGATGCGATGAATAATTCATGAGGGACAATTACACTTTATTCCTGGTGCACTTCCTAACTTCCCTCCGACTCCCCGCCTGCTGCAGATGACAGCCTTCCCTCCCTCCGGAGCTGCCTCCCTCCCTCCCTTCCGTGCTCCGTGCCCGCTGCCTCCCGCACCGCCCCCCGCACCCCCTCCCGCCGCCGGGGTGCCGGGCGGGAGCGGGCGCTCTCCCCGCCCCGTCATCCGCGCGTCCCACAGCCCTCACACCGGGCATCTCATTTATCCCACCGGACAGTTGTTGCCCCATTAAAGCGCAGTCCCGCCCTTCGCGGAGGACCTTTCATCTAGGGAAGTTTTATGACACTTTATAAATGTGCAAAGTTTTTAATTAGACTCGCCAGACAGCCCCAGGCAGCACTAGCGCCACGAAGTCTTCATGCCGCTCTCTGCTTTACAGCACAACAAGCCGCTCTACTCCTTTGAAGACAATGCCGACTATGTCTACGATGTCATGTGGTCGCCAGTGCATCCCGCGCTCTTCGCCTGCGTGGACGGGATGGGGCGCCTGGATCTGTGGAACCTGAATAACGACACCGAGGTGAGGCGGCTCGGCGGCGGTGGGAAGGCGCGGGCGGGCGGGCAGCGGGGCGCCGGGCGAGACCTTAACCCTGTGAGAGCCGGCACTGCCCGGCACCCTCGCCATCCTCCCCGCCGGGCTCCGAGGGGCGCCGCGCTCCCTCGGGGCGGGGACAACCCGGCGTCGGCCGCCGCCCGCGCCCCGGGGCGCGGCGGGGAGGGGAGGGGACGGGAGGGGGCGGGGAGGGGAGGGTACGGGAGGGCAGGTCCCGCTGCCGGGGGCGCCCGCCCGTCCCCCTCTCCCGCCTGCCGTCCCTCCTTCCCTCCCTCCCGCCTCCCTCGCTGCCTCCCCTGCGGCGGGGCTGGTGCGCTCGGTACCTGTCAGGGGCGGGAGCGCCGGCTCCGGCACCCGCGGCAGAAAGCCAACGCAATTAAATGCCGCGGTGCCGGCTCGGGAGGAGGCTCCTTCCCCCTCTGTTATTTTAAGGTGCACTTTTAAACCGCGCCCGTTCTGCAGGTTTGGGTTTTTTTATCCCCTCACCCCGTTTGTGACGCTCCGAGAGGCAGGTTAGCCATTCCGGCCCCAGCGCAGGGGTCACACCTTGGCCGCGCCGCCGCTGACTGCCAGCGGGACCGGGCTCCTCTTGGACTGCGGGACTTGCTCTCCCTCTGAATTTATTTATCCTCTGCGCCACATTCGCTGGGGAATGTAACTTGGAAGCTCCATGCCAGTGCCTCCAGAGTATCAGAAACCAAGTGTGTGCCCCTGCATCTCCCCTCACATCCTGCCTTTGAGTCGCTTGGTACCCTGCTTCAGTCTTTTAAAACGCAGGGCATCTCTCTCACATGTTATTTAGGGCTTTACGCGCTCACCCCTTTTTATCTTTAAACTTTGATGTGGAACTTAAAGGTACAAATGCAAATAACTACCTTTTCACCGCTATTAGCTAAAGAGTGGGGATCATTGGAAAGGAAAAGGTCTCGCGTTTGAATTTCACTGGTGGGAAAGGATTAATCAGAGCACTCTTAGCAAAGATTGAGACTGATAAACACTGTTTTTTAAAAAGTATCTTTCTGAAAAACATCGGGTTTTTCCTCTTATTATTTCAATTTTTTAAAAACACCAGAGGCTTAAATTGATGCTGGTTTTTTTGGATTTGCGTTTCACCCAAAAATGATTTTCAGAAAACCTGTTACCACCTGAGGTCAATCTTAAATGGCCAGTAATCAATTTCCAGCACAAAAATTGAACTATTTTTCCATTCAATAAGTCTTCCTTGTTTTTACATAATGCAATGTAAAACTAAGAACAAACAGACTGTAAAAAAATCAAAGGTCACATATTAGCTGGTGAGTTTCTTTTTATGTCCCAAAAAAAAGAGAAGATGGAAGAAAAAGCAGCAGTATTTTCCTCCTTACACCCTATTTTTAATATATATATTTTTTTTTAAGATTAGTTGGATCATTAATATACCTTTCTCATAAACCTGCTATGCGTTTCAGTCAGAGTAAAATACGGACACAGTTTATGGCTTCCAGTGAGTGGTGCTTGCCATAAATAAGCACGGACAGGCAAGAGGAACCAGCACCGGGCACTGCACTGTCAAGGGGAGCACTGAGGCCTTTTGAAGTGCTCTGAGCAGGAAGCAGTGCAGCCTTTTTAATTAGAGCACATACAGCTGGAGGATATTCAGGAGGAGTCTCCTAAGAATTTATTTTGGGAAGGGAGGGACATATCCTTCAGGTGTTCTCATTAATGCAGGCTTAAACACAGAGCATAAAACCCAGCATTTTGAGAAGAAAAAAATACCCTTTCCCCCCAAGTACCAGGGCTGAAATTGAAATCAACTGATGTTTTGCCATTTTACTCAAGGAGGCCATAATTTCTTTCCAAAAAATTAGTCTGGACTGCTTGATCCCATTCCCATCAATAATAAGGCTGTACGTAGCAAACCGCTGCTGCTTTCAGTGTGTTTACATATAAATATATAGGAACATCAAAAAAAAGAATTAATTTCAAGCTTCATCCTGCTTTTATTCTGCATGCAAGGCCACCCCCTGATTTCACAAATTATTTCCGTTCTCAGAGGTCAAAATCAGCTCTCATGTAGGATCAGACTGGAATTATTTCCATGGTATCCAAGCTTTGTGTTTTTATGAGAATCAAATTTGGGTCTCTGGACACAGAAATATAATTTGCTTTCCTTGCTGAGCAGTGATGAAACAAATAAAAAAATCCAGTATAAATTATAAACTGGCAGATTCTGAATAGATGTGAAGTTTTGTTATGCAGGAGAAGCAGCAAGAGTATCTCTGAAAGAGAGACCTGCAAACAGTTCTTGCAAGCATCGTAACTGAAAGTGATCGTTGTTTGCTTTTACGCTCTATCTGGTAGGTCATAATTAGCTAATAATTTTCCAGATTTCTGTAATTGATTATGCCGTTTAAGTCTGCACAGTTATTTGCTAAGAAAAACTCCTTGTCAGCACTTCTGCCTTTGTAATAAGAGATCTTGAAACACCTATTTTTTAGATCGTTATTACTTTTAGATGTCAGATATGTGATGTCAAAGTATTTGTGAAGACAGTAGAAAATGACAGGTCTATTACTGTGTTTAACTGCTAACTATTGATGAAAATCTCTGTGTAAGAACTAGATGTGGTTGTTATTAAGGAGTCCTGGCTTTGTTTCATTTGGGGAATAAGCCACATTAATATTTAGGTATCATTTTGAAAATCAATTAAGAAAACACCTGGGTTTAGTTACAATGTGCTACCTTTAGATTTTTGAATCTCAGCAGAGTTTCCACTAGTGTTGCTGTTGGTACTTATTGGAAACATTTTCCTGAGAGCTAGATGCTTTCTGACCAAATAACTTAGATCATTGGACTGTACCAAGGACTTAATCAGTGTAGTAATTATTTTCAAAAATCTCATTGCAAAGTTGCAAGGCTATTTTTGTACTTCATGTTTATTTTTACATATCAGAAATTATTTTTGTAATAGCAAGGAAAATTACCACGTTTTATTTTATATCTGATAAATGCATATTAAAAAAAGTTGAAAAGAAAAAAAAGTCCTTACCCACTCCATCATTCTTTTGCAAACTGAATATTATTTTTATGGATCAGTGTAGTGAGGTTTGCAAAAAGCTTCAGGATAGCAGATGCTGATTTCTTACTAATGTATCTGTAACATTTATTTTTTGATCAAGATTGGAGAAGATCTGTTGGTGCTTGATGAGTCTTATTTATGTATGAGTTGATACGAAACTGACTTACAAAGTCGCTTATTTCTTCTGTGTTATCCTCTCAGATGTCGTCCTGTTTAGATGTTTCTCAGGTTTTTTGTATATTGTACCTTAGCTTTTAAAGTGTGAGGATGGTGTCTATATCTAGAAACAGCAACAGATGTATTTGCAAGCAGGTTTTGACACTACATAGACGCTAAGAATAATAATAAAAAGCTGTATTCTTATCATGCAGGTTTTTCTGACTGCATCTTTCTTAATCTGTTATCTGTTAAAATTTCATTTCAAAATTGTTTAAAATCTGACAAGCACCAACTTCAGAGAATTTATAAGGTATTTCAAATGTGATTTTAAAAACATAATGCTACCATTATAAATAAACTCTTACCTTGAAATCTAAAATAGGCGTGTGCAATTTAAACTATCACTACTGAGAACAGACTAATCTATTTTAAGATACTATGGTTTGACTATGTTTCTCTTCATATCACTGGAGAAAAGGTTTAATCTTTGGATTTTTAAAGACTGTTTCAGTATTGCTTTTTATTTTGTTAGATAGCTTTGTGGATTAGTAACAGGATTTTTCAAAACCATTAGGTTTTGAAAAAAAGCATGGGTTGTGTCTTGTGTCTGCGGCATTCGTGCTTATTTTTATGTGGAGCACTGAAAGAATGCTGTATTAACAACAACAAAAAATAAACCCCCAAAAACAAAAATCTAAACCATCCCCAGCTCTAGAGTTATGTATTACAGTCTTCTGAAAGATTTTGTGAAAATTCAATGCCTTAAATATGCACTGTATATTTGTACATGAAACATATATCTGTGATCTGCAGTTTTCTGAGAAACGTAGCTGGTTAGTGGCTTAGTCCTCTAAAATGTGGCATTTAGCTCTTTGAAAAAACCCATTCCCAAATGTTATGAAATTAACTTTGGATTTTTTTTTTCCTCAGAAATCTATGATCACAGCACTAAAACTTGCTTGTTTTCTATTGTGATTTTTATCATGGATCAATGACTCCATGTCAGCTTAAGTCCATTGACTCTTCTTAGGTAACAGACCCGGGACAAGGAGTTAGTGCACGCCAGCTTTTTTGGGTAATACTGCCTTGGACAGGACCTAGGCCTTGCACAATGGGAAGATGAGTCCAGTAGTTATTTGCATTTGAATGACTTCCTGAAGGGGGGGAGGATGGTATCTGCTTTCTGATTGGTATCCAGCATTATTTCTACATCATTCTTCGTTCTGCGAACAAAATCTTCCTGCATTTCTCTTGTGGGGCTCAGGACACTACTGTGAAGCCCTTTGCCGAGGTGATGCTTTAGCTGTGGCAGAATCCTTATGCTTGAGGTGCCAGTTGGTTTGGCACCTGGTGTTAGGGTTGGTGAGGGGGAGCAGGGACCTCCAGGGGGAGAGTCAAGGGAAGCAGCCCGGATTCCCGGTCCTTGTCCAGCTGCTGGCGTGGCAGTGCACGCGCTGCGGCTGTAACGAGAGTGTCAGCAAGTCTGCAGAGGTTTGGCTTCCTGCTGTCACTCAGCTGGTGTGACACAATGAAGGCATTAGGGCTGAGGAGGAGACTGGCATAGGAGCTGTACAATGTTCGTTTTAAAATTATTTTTCTCCAGGATCTTTAGACCTGTCTCGGTTCTCACAGTCAGAGAACCGAGATGAAGTCAGCAAAGTACTGGTTTTGTTAATCCTGCCAGTTTGTCAGTGTTCAGACCAGGGTTTAGTATGACCTTCAAGCTGCTTTCTTCCTGCTCCTGCTGCACTGTACTGCCAGTGAGGACAGAAGGAGTACCTGTCACTCCTCTCAGGGTAGCCAGGACTCCAGTTCTTGTCCAGCTACCTCTTTTTAGCCTGCAGTGCTCCTCTCCATTCTATGCCCATTTATAGATCCTGGGACACTCCCTTGTCATCTCACAGTGTTACCGAAACCTTTTCCCACCATGTGGATGCAGTGGAGGAGTTGTTTTTGCATCTATCCTCTCCCATTTGCCTTGACCTAAAAGGCACTGAAACTCAAAAGCCTTGTTTGGAAGACTGTTACGCCAAGCTACAGGCTCCTTGCTCGGGCAGGTTCTCTCCTATTAAAGGCAGCTGGGTGGAGCATTAGTAGGCTTGCAGGTTACTGTCATTTGTCATATGAGGTGACCTAAATCAACTGAGTGATCCACCTATCTGGGACAAACACCCACTCAGTTCCTTCCTCCTGCAGCATCTTTTGATGCCCTCATTCCAGCGTAGATGACAAATACTTCTCTTGAGATCACGTTCAGTGCTTTATTCATCCCACGCATTAACCAGAACCTTTATGTGTTCTTGTGGATCACCTGTTGAGTTGGTTGACTTGGGGCAGGGAGGGGGTTTAGGAATTAGACAGCACCCAGGTGTATTTAAAGCAGAACTAATGTCCTGGGGATGTAAAAGAGAATTGTGGGAATATATTGTAGGAGTTCCAAAATGTCAGCTCAGCTGTTCTCACTTCTGCCTTGTCCTCGCTCTGGAGTGATTAGCTCAGGACTTTTCTGATAAAATGCCTAAGTTTCAACCTCTGCATCTAGCCACAGAGGTGAGTCTGGATTCAAAGGATGTGTCAGCATGAATAGAGAGATGTGTCTGCTGACTGTCAGGTTATCTGGGCTTGAGTCAGAAGCCGGGCCAGGACTGAAGCCAAATCCTGCTCTCAGTTGGTTCTTGGTCATGTTAGTGACTTTTGAGAAAAAAGTATTTGGTTTTGCATGATTCCAGGGCTAAAGGGGAAGACATGGTTTCACGTACTGCCCTTTTCTGTTCATTCCAAGCAATCTCTTACTCTTGTCTCTTTTTAGCACGTCATCAAAGAAACAATGAACCCTTTTGCTTTTTCTTCTCACCCCAATGAGAGTTGTTTTCTTCTTCCAGCAATGCCAAGGGACTTCGATTCATCCAGGACATTCAAAACTGACCCCTGGGTTTGTAGGCAGTGTGATTTTTATTGTCCTTCCTGTTCCTATTGTTCCAACAGGTTCCCACAGCCAGTGTCACCATAGAAGGAGCATCTGCCCTCAACCGTGTCCGCTGGGCCCAGGCTGGGAAGGAGGTGGCAGTTGGCGATTCAGAAGGCCGCATATGGGTCTATGATGTCGGAGAGGTATCTTCTGTTGGGATTCTTTTATGGTTTGTTTGTTTTGTTGGGGTTTTTTGTGTTTTGTTTCTAAGCTCAACTCCTGGAGATTGCCACATTCAAGTTTAAGAAAGAAATCTGTCTTCAGTGGAGTCCTCATTGAATTTCTGTTGCCAGCAGTGTGTTAATCATAATGTTACCTTGCAAAAGAGTTAACTTGTTGAAATCTCATGAGAGAAGTCTCTTTTTAAAGCCTCTAGTATTTTTCAAGCTGTTTTTAAATAATGATCCTATGGGTACATTTGGAAAAAGTTAAAAGAACATAAAAAATTGAGGTGCAAAAAGAGGCAGTGCTTTTCTAAAATTGATCTTAAAGGGTTCACCTTTTATAATCCAGTATCTCTTATTTTATGACTGGCTTATTGCTGTAAGTTTTTGTCAGCATGACATGCATAGAATGCATCTGTTCTTTTGATACTGATTCATATGTCTGAATATGTGCAAAAGTACTAACAGGAGGAAATGAGAGGTGTCATTTTGAAGGATAGTAGGGGCATGCGTGATAGACTATAGCAGGATGCATATTCAACCATGTGTCTAAGGCTGCTCTCAATTCACCCTGCTACATCTTATAACAAGCATCTAAACTGCAGTGTGTTTGGCAGTGATGAATGTAACTCTTTGTTGATGAATGCAGTGTAAATGTGTTCCATCGGCATTACAATCCCTTGGAACAGGTAAGGGTGAATCTCTGAGCAATCAGCTTTTATGTAGAGAATTTGTTTTCCATCATTATCTGTGATAGAATACTGAGATACCCATCTCTACATAGTAGGGAAACATTATAGAATGCATACAGAATTATCTGTAACTCTCATAAAGTGATTTTATGGCCCATAGCAAAATTGCTTGTGCATGACTCATATTTTTGGATTTCATTCTCTAGTGCCGGAGTTGCCCTTCCTCACAAATGTTTGCTGAAACCTCTTGCCATGTTGTTAGCATAATCTCTAAATTGTCTAAGGTTACTGTGCTCAGATTTCCACTGTGACACTGGCTGGTCAGCTGTTTTTATTTATTTTTCATTTTGCATGATTGTTCTGTCTTTCAAGTGATACGACAGGTTGTGGAAATGTCTTTGATGACAGCACAGTCTGATCTTGTCTGAGAGTCTAGACAGGCTGTAGAAATGTCTCTTTTTGCATATCATACACCAAATCATTTATAGGACTATTTACTCCTGCAAGTTCACCCAGAAGAAAAAATAGTGTTCTATGCAGAAGTAGCAATATGGAAGTTTTTGACCTTTCCTGTGTGTAATAAGACGTCATCTTGCAAAATGAGTCATAGTGATACACTCAAATAAAAAAGAAAGAAAGGCTTCTATTACTTGAAAAAGAAAACAGAGTCGTTCAACAGTATTGATTTGTGTGAGTCCAGTTCAGTGTTACATAAAGAGTTCTGCTTCCGGGATGTTGCGTGCCCTGCCCTTGCAGAGCCTCAGTGTCTCCAGCTCAGCTCCGTCTGTGCTTAAGTAAACCCATGGATGTCTGTCCACACGGCTGCTGAGAGACCATTGCCAGTCCTGCTCTGCTGTAATGAATGAAGGAGCTCATTAATTTGTTGCCTGGTTCAGTCAGGCACTATGAGTCTCTGCAGTAATTCCTGCGTGAAGTTTAGGACAGGTCATCTGGGCTGCAGCGCTGCTGGGGCTGCTGTGTTGTTCGTGCCTTTTTCTGGTTCAAAAGAGAAGGGTGCTCATATATTCTCTAGCCCAGCTGTTCTCACTGTAGAGCCTCCAGTGAGATACAGAAATACTTTGCAGATCAAGAGCCTGGAACCAAGGGCATGGACAGTGAGTAGCAGCCTCTTGGGTCATTAAGCCTGTGAGCCAGTCTGTGAAGAGCTCTTTGATGAGAGATTATGTCATTAGCTGTCCTCAGGCATGATGCGTGGCGGATTCACAGTGCACGTACACTCTTGGAAGTGTCTGGTACAGAAATATGGCAGCCTTTAAGGATTTTGCTTTGCTTCACTGTGCAGACACTGACCAGTTTTTGGCTCAGCTGGGGTCCTCCTTTGACCGTCCTTTTTGTAGGGGTTTGATTCTGGGGTCTGATGGGGCTGGTCTGACAGTTTAAAAAGAAAAGTTCTTCTCCTGCCAGCCATCCTTAGCCACATCCCTTGCTGCCCAGTTTTTGTGCAGGTAGAAGGGCTTGTCACCACTCATACTGTGCAGAGAAAGACAGATCAGTAGAGAAGTATTTATTTGTTTTGTTTTCTTTGGGCTGTTTTTCTCCATGAAATGACTCATGTGGGAGTAGACAAGTGAGCACATAGCTGGGATCAAGGGGCTGGGAGCTGGACTATACAGCACCCAGCAGAAGCTGACTTTCATATTTGACCCAGAATATTGCAAATCCTGACACTAAGCTCTCAAAGTTGACCTTTCAGCATCAGCACTCTCCTTGTCTCCTACAACATCACTTTCTGAAAAGGCCTCATCACTGGAAGAACTCATCTCTGCCTGGCTGATAACTCAGTAGCATCCACTTGTTTGAAGGTGCATCTCCCTGATTTGGGAAGATGGGTGTGATTACATGCATTAGAAAGTCAGGAGGCCACTTTACAAAGACCCTGAATACACTCACCAAAATCAATAATGCTCCACTTATACTGCACCCTTTTAAAAATCTTTGTTTACTTGTGGCTGTTCCAAATGTCACAATTGATCAGCTAAACTCATAAAGCACTGGTTCCAGCAGAAGAAAAAAATACTGTATTGTATTTTTATAAAATATTTGTATTTTGTATAAAATATTTGTATTTTAATATATTTGTATAAAATATTTGTATTTTAATACAGCATCGTATCTTTCAATTTCACCTTACTAGAGAAAGTTTTTCTTACCTGTTTATTAGACAACATTGACTCTGTGAATTTTAATCAGAGCATAAAACATCAGGCTATCAACCATTAAGGAAAAAATTAAGTGGTAAGAATTTTTACTTTGATAGATTCATCACGGTTTTAAGGAACTATCCTAGAGAGCAGTAAAGTTTACTGCTGCTATTAACCCATATGGTATAAAAAGAAAACATATGACCTAAGTGAAAAACATAAGACATAAGGCCTAACCTTGCATCCTTTGTGAAGGTAAGGACTGGGGTATCAGGGCTGTTTTCACTTGTGCAAGAATTTAGGATTTGACCCATGTTTATATGTTATCTAGTCATGGTCTTTATGACAACAAGAAATGTCAGACACGTGAAGAACACGGCAGGGTCCGTGACCAGGGAGTTAAAAATAATGGTGACAGTTTCAGTTAGGCTATATAGTGTTATCTCCTTTGACTATGTACTTTTAGTTGTTTGATTCTGGCATCACATCTGAAAATAACTGAACACATTTATTTTCACAGTGAGGGGTCTATTTTCTCCTCTATGTGTGTGCTTTTTGCCCATTAGCATTAATGGGAGTTACACACACACAATTCCAGCAGAGAGGAGACTTAAACAGTCCATATAGATGTGCTCTTGTGGATCAGTAAGCAACAGTTTTAAAGAATGTGAATTATGAAATGAAATAAAAACCCAAACATGCAAAAATCTGATTGTTTCAGTGTGATGGGATCTTAAACTACTACATACAACCAACCATTGTATATGCACTTCAGTCTCTGTAAGACCTAAATATTCAAACTTCTGCTGGCATAGTAGTTGTGATATTATCATTGTGATAACTTGTATAATATATTTTAGCTCCTGTAGCCTTAGGGCTTCTTTACTGGGCAGCAAGTTTTCTGTATGGAAGAAGCTGATTTTAACAGAGCATGGCCCACTGCCTATAGATGTATTCACATGTTCAGGTGATTGATAGTTAGACCTAACTGCATGTCTGTTTTGCAGATCTGTTTTCTAGAAAGCTTGCTCCCATTGTGCACGCTTCAGTGATGTTACACAGTGCCTGCTGTCATAAATATTCTCTAACAACCATGTTTGTTGCTTACCGTGCTTACTGCAAATGCTTTTTACACCTTTGCTTGTAAAAGAAGCAGCTTCTCATCCACCTTCTATTATTTCCTTTTTTTGCCCATTTGTCTCTTCCAGGTCATATTCTGCTTGCACTGTGAGTACATAGATAGAAACTGTGAGTCAATGACTTATTATTTCATTCTAATAAAACATAAAACAAGTTTGCAGCATAGGATCACAGAATTTGAAACTGTAATCACAAGGAGCATAATGCAGTACATTATTTTGCTGAAGTGGTTACAGGACAAACTATTGCATCTGTTTGGCAGTCTTTCAGACAGTTAGTTCTAGTCATGCCTTTAAAAGGCAACTAGTGTTGACAGGTGGACCAGAGAGAAGAAAATGTCTTTCTCAAAGCCATCCAGGAAGACTGGCTCAGCCAACAGAGCAGTTACCTGGGATTTTTTGTACAGTTGTTACCTCTGTCCTTGTTTCCTGGCAGTGAAATCAGAATCCTATGGATGATTATGTTTATGTGACTTTGTTAGGTTTTAGAGTTAATACTGCCTTAAGGCTTTTTAGGGCTGCTGTGTTAGGTTGTTTGCTCCATCGTAGGTGTTAATCCCATATCTCATTTTCAAGTACATGAACAGCGAGGGAGGATCTGATAACTGCCCTGAAGTACGTGGAAGAAGTGGTACAGTAAGGATATCCTGCTGGTGCCTATAAAATAATTTCCTTTGATTCCAGCAGCCTTGAACAGCTGCTCTGAGATTCTTAGGGCTCTAGACAGAAACAAAAGTATATTTGTGACCAGCTCTCACATTTTGGTATGACTACTGAGTCACTTTTTTTTCTGGCTAGAGTGGGGAAGCTTTGTACTTTGTACTTCTGTCTTGTGATCCCTGTGTTTCACTGTAGATTTCATATGGAAAACACATATCCAGCATCTCTTTCACGCAGTTAAAAACTGCTGTAGCCCAGAGAGAGAAGTATGAAGCTAGGTTTTGTGTCATGTAGTTATTCTGGTAGATTTTCCAGTAGGTTTGCTTTTGCCATCATAAAGCTTCTATAGAGCATATATTGAGTTGGGAAATGTTTTTGCCACAAAAGCAGAGTTGAGACTCGCCTTAAAACATTTTATTTTAAAATCTGTGTTGGGTTACAAGTATTCTTGGAACACAGATAAATGGCTCACGCACATATCATGAAGGCAAATTTGAGCAATAATAAGGGGTTGTGCTTACAACCAAGTTTTATTCAAAAACATTCAAAGATTAAGTAAGACACAGTAGTTACAACAACATGCAGAATCCAGGCATAAAGGATAATTAAATTTCACCGTTGATATTTCTGCTAGGGAGGTTGAAACCCTGGCCTCAGAGAATTTTAAAAACATGTTTTAACAAAGCAGAATCAAGCAGAATCTCTTAAGAATTGTTGGAAAATGTAAAGAACTATGGTTTTGATTTGCTTCCTCTTTCCCCCCAGTTTTATAAGTTGAAAGATTTTAAAACTGGAAGCATTTAGAGATGACAAAAAAAATACCAAGAACTTCAGCTTTTTACTTGAATAATGTCTGAAATATTGAGCAGAACAAGCTCCTCGTCCCTCATCATTTCAATTTTGACTGATATAGTCTGTATTCACAAAGGGATTTTTGAAGTAGGTTAAATAAGAACTCCCTAATGAAAAAAACGCACTAGTTTGAAATCAGTCAATTTAATTACTGTGTTTTATGAAGGCCATTACCCATTGCTGATTACTAGGGTGATAAAATCTTTAAGCTTTGGTAGCCTCCATAGGGGGTGAGCTGATCTAAGTAGAGCAAAGTCCAGTCATTATCACCCTAAATACTTGTGTTTCTCATTACAATATTCATTACTTTAGGTTACTGTGAACGCTTTGAGGTCTTTATGTAAGCACTGGTTTATTCCTCTGTAGAAAAACAATGTTATGTTGATAAGTTAAAACCAAGTGTTCATATACTTCTACAGTTTAAAATGAGGCTTGACTACATCCATACACAGAAATGCATAAGTTTATATCTCTGAGTAGAAATTTCCCTATACACACCTATTGGTGACTGTTTGCTTGTCAGTGAGCTTGTATTAGTCTGATAAGAAATGGAAAGGGATATGCCTTACCTTGTTATTTCAGTCTGTTTGGGTACTTAAAGAAGCTGGAATGGAGGCTTATGTTCCTAATAACGATCTTTATTAGGGAAGTACTTTTCAAGAGGGAAAACTGAGCCGTGATCTAATTAATCTGAGTTACCTAAGGCTGGTTGCTGAGGATTGGAGATCTTTATCTCCAGTGCCAGCCTGGGCCCTTGTGCTTCCCTTTCTCTGCCACCCCTTGCGTATCATGTGGCATCACTGGCTCTCTGCCCTTCTCAGTCTCCCTTCTCGTGGGTTTCAGACTTACAAAGCAGCTTCATAAAACTGCTGTTGTTTAAAAGATCAAACCTTTGCAAATGCTCTTAGCACTTTTGGTTATAAAAGAAGCAGCCTCTCATCCTACCTTCTATTATTTATTTTTTCCCTTTTTTTTTTCCCTTTTATCTCTTCCAGGTCATATTCCAGTTGCACTGTGAGTGCAAAATCCCTTGCTCTTATGCTTAAAAAAGTATTTTATTTTAAAAAAGGACTCTTGAAATGTGTCAGGGAGGGATGTGGATGTGGGTTATGGGGAGAGGAGAGTAACCTGTAGAAAGGGATGGAAGAACTTGGTGTGACTAAGCCAGGGAATCATGAGCCTGGCAGCAATACAGATGTTCCATGTTCTTGCAGAGTGCTTGGGGCCAGAGGAGGAGACCTAGTGGAGCTGAGGACGTGCTGCCACCAGCGCGTGTGGCTGCGAGCTGGCCATGTATTCATTTGAGTCAAAAATTAAAAGAATATTTTTAACTGTCAGAAGGCTGAAGTCCCAGGCCAGGTAGAGATGCTGGGACAAACATCCTCCCAAAGTGGAGCCTGTCCCCAGGGTTTTGTGATGTGCTTGTGTGTGATGCAGACGTGGGTCACACCTGGTGTACAGGGTCACTCTCCTGCCCATGCCCCGGTGTTTGCTTCCTCCTGGCAACAATGCTTTCTTCTGTTTCTCTCTCTAGATAAATGGACATGAAATTCTACTTCAATTTTTTTGCTGTTGTGAATGTTTCTTGTTTGAATGAAAGGAGGAAGTGTCAGATTTTTAATGAAAGTACCTTTTTTTCTCATTTGTTGATTAGACAGTGAAATTAATGGGTATTAGTGAAAGCAGACAGAAGGGGTGGGGGTTTTAAATGGTCATCTTAAGAACTCAGTTGATTCTTTATTCTTAGCTTCCACTTGCTTACTATGAAATATTTCAGCAGTTCTCCAGAGACAGCTTAGTAGCTCTCCAGAGAATTTCATGGGGTAAAAAGACATGAGTTTCCAATAGGATACAGATATCTTTTAGAAGAATCATTCAGCTTCTTATCGTATGAAATAAAAACCTTAAGAAACCCAGTGAACCAACCAAAAAAACTCTGGCCCTAGTCCTTTTTATTCATTTGCACACTACTTTTAAAGCTGACTTATGTTTCCTTTTCCTTTGCAAAAGCCTAGATCCTCCCCCTGCAGAGAGGATCAGAGAGAACAAGCCACATGTGACAGGAGTTAATCATGTAGCTTAATACACTATTGGAAGGCGCTCAGATAACGAAGTGATGAGAGCAGCAGAAGAGAATCTGTGAGAGATCATTCCCTTTTTGCACAGTGCAGCCTGCAGGAGGGGGAGAAGGGAGAGCTCTATGTGACTGCGTTCCTGATGGTATTTTCCTGCTGAGCTGGGAAGCACTGAGAAGGGCAAGAGAAAAAGAGCAAAGGGAAGCCCAGATCAGACATACCCATCTGTCTACATGGACACTACTCAGGCTACACTACTAGTTCCTCAGTTACTGCTTCTCCTGAAAACTTGTCAAGAGGCTTAGTGGAAAAGAGAATCTGGGTCCAGGCTTTCTGTGGTAGCTGTAGCTGAGACAGGGGTCTCAGCTTTAGCTGGTCTGCCCCCATCCTAAAACCCTGTACTGTGGAACACGGTGGGGGAGCAGAGCTGTAGTCAGTGCATGTGTCATGTGTATATGTCACAGAGTATGTCTTTTAAATATCTACTTAGTCTCTTGGGTGACATTTTCTCTGAATTTCTTTACCCCCTTTCTGATGTAAAAAGAAATGTTACTGAAAAATGTCCATAGAAAAATCTCCATGAGTATGGAAGAGGAGAATTGCCAAGTATGAAATTTAGTTTAAACTCAGTTTGTGTGCAGCAATTTGCAAATTTCATAGAAATCCATGACTTATCATTGTGGAGTTAAAACACTTCTGAGGCAAGAGCTGTTTTGCATAATTAATTTTTTTCAGAGGGCTTCTGTGGTTTTAACCTGTCACATCCAGTAGCAGTTTTCATTTTGAGAATCCTTAACTATGTTTTCAATCTTTATGGATTGCAGAATGGTCTGTCTTGTGATCATGAAAAAATACTTAATTTGTGACTTGGAAAAAAACAGTTAAAGTATCAACTGAGGATAAATCTGGGCCTTAATATATCCGATTTTGCAGCTAAAATTCTATATTCTGTGTTTAATTTAAATGTGAAATCTATACTGCAGTGCCTAAAGTGGTGGAAGAATCTGTGTCTGAAATGGAAAAAAAACCAACCCAAAACAACAAAATAAAACCCACTGCTATGTCATGATGGATGAGCTCTTGCAGATAACGGGATATGTACAAAATCTCAGAGAAGGCAGCAACTCTTCTGCTGACTAAAATCTTTGAGCAGTTTATAAGCTGCTGTGGTGAGAGTCCATTTGCCAGCTCAGAGCAGGAAAGCTGTGGCAGTAGTCCTTTAAAGTTCCTGTTCTGACAGGTTTCCTGGCATGAATCATGGCATGGACGTGGCCAGCTTGGTCTGGAGGGGAAGCAAGCTGAGCTGAATATGATTTATTTCTTCCCTGAGGCAACAGTCCTTCATGCAGCTGAACTTCCAGGGAGGTACCTTTGCCAGTGCAGCCACCCCACAAGCCAAAGCTCTGGTGTTCCAAGGGAGAACGATGGGCCCATTCTTCCAATCAATGTAGTTGTCTGTAAAAAAAAATAAAAAAAAAAAAAGTAGGTATTGGAAAGAACA